ACCCCCTGAGACCCCCCTGACACCCCCTCCCAAGGGTTCCCGGACCTCCTGAAACCCCGCTCGGTTTTGGTCAAAAATCCAGAAAACGAGAGACCACCCAGAGCCGTCGATTTCAGTACTAAAAAATCGCATTTTTAACTGGAACCCGGGCCGATCCTGGGGTCCCCCTCATTTGGGGTGTTTTTGGAGGCAAACTTTCCCTTTCAAGGGGGGGTCGGAGTTTGAGGCTAGGGGGGGTCTCAGAAGACTATTTTGCCTTTAAAATTGAAAAACACAACCCCCCCTTGACCAAAACTAGGCTGTGAAAAGGTCGCGGGGGCGGCCCTCCATCAGAATTGAGGGTTACAAACTCTGAAATATCCTGAAAAACATTGAAAAACCTTAAAAAACACTGAAAAATTCTAAAAAACCTTGAAGAACCTTGAAAAACTTGAAATCCCGAAGCCGGTGAAGGCTCGGTTTTGGTCAAAAATCCAGAAAACGAGAGACCACCCAGAGCCGTCGATTTCCGGCCTCCCAGAGGGGCCTCCTGGGGCCTGAGCTGACAGGGTCTCATTTGCCCAGACGCGTAAGAAAATCGACGGTTTTCCATTTCAAAAAGCAGGGCCGGCCGAGGCCCTGCTGCCCCCGACCGTTTTTGCTGCCCTTTCAAGCCCGAAAATGTGGGTTTTTGGTATTGCACTTGATGGTTTTGGGCACCTTCCATTTTACTCCGTGAAAGCTCCAAGAAGCCTACGAGTCACTGACAGGCTCCATGAAGCTCGGGAGACCCCGCCCTGCTCTTTCTCTGTAAAAAGCAAGAAAGCCCCCCTTGAGGGGGGTTTGGGGGGTGAACCCTAAACCCTAAATGAGAATAGTTTGGGTGGTTGGGGTGGGACTACATGCTAACGCAAGCGAGCGGCCCGGGTGCTTTTAGCACCAGCGTGCTTCCCTTCTATACACCCTAAACCCTAAACCCTAAACCCTAAACCCTAAACCCTAAACCCTAAACCCTAAACCCTAAACCCTAAACCCTAAACCCTAAACCCCTAAACCCCTAAACCCCTTAACCCCTTAACCCCTTAACCCCTTAACCCCTTAACCCCTTAACCCCTTCAAAACCCTAAAACCCTAAACCTAAACCCTAAAACCCCTAAAACCCTAAACCCTAAAAAAACCCTACACCTAACTCCTAACCCTAACTTTGGGGGGGAAGTAACCCTAAACCTAAACCCTACAACCCTAACCCTAAACCCGAAACCCTAAACCTACAACCCTAAAACCCTAAAACCCTAAACCCTAAAACCCTAAACCCTAAACCCTAAACCCTAAACCCTAAACCGAAACCCTAACCCTAACCCTAAAACCCGAAAAACCCTAAACCCTAAACCCTAACCCTACAACCCTAAACCCTAAACCCAAACCCTAAAACCCTAAACCCTAAACCCTAAACCCTAACCCCTAACCCTAAACCCTAAACCCTAAACCCTAAACCCCAAACCCTAAACCCTAAACCCTAAACCCTAAACCCTAAACCCTAAACCCTAAACCCTAAACCCTAAACCCTAAACCCTAAACCCTAAACCCTAAACCCTAAACCCTAAACCCTAAACCCTAAACCCTAAACCCTAAACTTAAAACCCTAAACCCTAAACCCTAAACCCTAAACCCTAAACCCTAAACCCTAAACCCTAAACCCTAAACCCTAAACCCTAAACCCTAAACCCTCACCCCTAAACCCTAAACCCTAAACCCTAAACCCTAAACCCTAAACCCTAAACCCTAAACCCTAAACCCTAAACCCTAAACCCTAAACCCTAAACCCTAAACTCTCTCTATCATATAATAATTTAAACCTTAATGGGGAACGTGGCCATTGGCAAAAAAACCGTGGCCATTGGCAAAAAAACCGTGGCCATTGGCAAAAAAGCCGTGGCCATTGGCAAAAAAACCGTGGCCATTGGCAAATTCGCCAATGGCCACGGGAAAGTTGCCAATGGCCACGGCTTTTTGGCCAATGGCCACCAATGTCATTAAGGTTGGTCGCCAAAATGGGTTTTTCAAACCCAATTCGCACAAAATGCCCCCCAACCTTAATGGGGAACGTGGCCATTGGCAAAAAAGCCGTGGCCATTGGCAACTTTTCGGGCTTTTTGCCAATGGCCACGGCTTTTTTGCCAATGGCCACGTTCCCCATTAAGGTTGGGGCCCAACCTTAATGGGGAACGTGGCCATTGGCAAAAAAGCCGTGGCCATTGGCAAGTGGCATTTGCCAATGGCCACGGGAAAGTTGCCAATGGCCACGGCTTTTTTGCCAATGGCCACGGCTTTTTTGCCAATGGCCACGGCTTTTTTGCCAATGGCCACGGCTTTTTCCCCCCCCC